AAGACTAGTTATGTTCCTTAACCCTGTTGGTTGGACGAGCCATCAATATATAGACTCCATGCTGGGGCTGTTGGTTCTATTTTCTGAGCTTCTGAGGGTAATGAAACCACTTCTTTAGGCGTAGAAACAATGTCAACAGGATATGTGAAGTCAGCGATGAAGTCTACCACTGTTTGGCCCTAAATATGGTATAAACAGTGTCACCACCTCAGGTTTCGAGAGCAAAGGGGCTTTACTCATGTAGTCTTTGAGGTTCTTAAATGCCTCAGCACATTCATCAGTCCATGTAATGTACTTCTTACTTCCCTTAAGTGCTTTGAAGAAAGGAGCACATCTGTCAGTGGCCTTAGAGATGAACCTAGTTAAGGTTGCCACCTTGTCAGTAAGGCTCTGGATGTCTTTTAAAGTTACCAGTTCCTTCATGTCGATGTTGGCTTTGATCTTCTTGGGATTAGCCTCAATGCCTCGTTTGCTTATCATGAAGCCTAAGAATTTGTCAGAGCCTATGCCGAAGGCACATTTGTTGGGGTTCAACCTCATTAAATACCTCTTCAGAATGGTGAAAGTTTTGGATAAGTTGGTGATGTGTTGGTCATCATGTTTGCTCTTGACTAGCATATTATCAACGTAAACTTCCATGCTCTTCTCAATCTGTTCGGCGAACATTGAGTTGACCAGTCTCTGATAAGTCACTCATGCATTCTTTAGGTCGAAGGGCATGACTTTATAGCAATATAGTCCCCTGTCAGTAGTGAAGGTTGTATGCTCTTGGTCAGGAGGGTTCATGAGGATTTGGTTATATCCTGAGTAAGCATCAATGAAGCTCAGGAGTTCACACCCTGCCGTAGAGTCTATAAGTCTGTCTATGAGAGGAAAAGGAAAGCTATCCTTCGGACATCCTTTGTTTAGGTCGGTGTAATTGACACACATTCTCCACAAGACCTTTTAGAGCATGAGACTTTCCTTGGTCGGACGAAGCCTATGCCTTTGAGTTTTTCAACTTCTGCCTTCATTGCCTCATACTGTTCAGCATCATAAGATCTTCGCTTCTGTCTCACTAACTTGGTCTTGGGGTCAATACTTAAGCGATGACAGATTATATCGGGAGAGATGCCTGGCATGTCCTCGTATGACCAGGCGAAGGCCTCAGTGTTCTCTTGTAAAAAAGACATCAATGCCAACCGAATGGGTGGTGACAAGGTGGTACCAATCTTCACCATACGATCCGGATAATCTTTTGAGATAGAAACCTTCTCCAACATTGTGTTTGCTGGGTGAAAGAGTCATTTCGAGGATCGTCGAGTTGACTGTTGCCACCGTGAAGATCCAAGTTGGCTTCATCTGGGCTGGTCTTTTATACTTGGTCATGTATAGAAAGGGTTTCCTTGGGCATAGGCAGGTGATGTTGCTTGACCGAAATGTTGTAACATGATCGTGCACTAAGTTGATCTCCTCTGATGTAACCATTGCCATAGAGGGTTGGAAATTTCATCAACAACATATGTGTGGATACCATGGCCTTGAGATCATTGATGCTTGTGCGTCCAAAGATGACATTGTATATTGTTGGGCAATCAACCACCAGGAAGTTAGTGGTAATGGTAGCTATGTAAGGGCCTGTACCAATGGTGAAAGGTAAGTGTATGCTCCCTAAAGGTTTCACAATATCACCGGAAAAGCTTATCAAAGGGGAAATTGAGCGGTCGACCAAGTGTTCAGCTACATTAAGTGCCCTGAAAGCTTCAGCAAACATGATATTAATCGAAGCCCCCATGTCTACCAGGATTCGTTGTACTTCAAAGTTGGCTATGTGAGCTTTCACGATCAATGGGTCGTTGTGAGGGTAGATGATATTTCTTTCTTCCTCAGGGTAGAAACATATCGGATCCCAGTTAGGCTTTTGTACTTACCTCCCTTGATGTCTTCCACGTGAAACACTTGGTGGCCAGACCTTAAAGCTCATTCACTATTTTTCATGGCCCTGTTGGAAGATTTAGATATGGATGTGCCACCACTTATGGAATATATTACATTGACCTGCCGTTGGTAACGGTTACGCCTTAGAGGGTGAAGGAGGAATTGATCAATTTTTCCTTCACGTGCCAAAGCTTCAATATGATCACGAAGGGTGATACACTTCTCGTCGTCATGGCCGTTATGCTCGTGGTAGCAGCAAAACGTGCCCATGTTCTTCGTGGGCTTGTAATCCGGGTGCATCGGCATTGGCTTCGGTATCAATTGTGCTATGCTGGGGTAAATGGCCACGCATGTGGTGTTTAAAGGTGTGTATCCATCATACCTCGGGGTAGGGGTTGTCCTAACACGTGCTTGACCCACTATGTTGACTGCCTGAGGTCAAGGATTATCATGGCGATACCCTTGGTTATCGCGGTAGTGCCCCTTACTCATTTTACTAAAATGAGACTGGTGAGGATGGAAATCTTTCCTTTTTCCTTGAGATTGATATGTTTGTTGACTTGGAAAAGTATTAAGTAAGGCAGGGGGAGGCACCGCTACCGTTTGGAAGGTCGAGATCTTCTCATTTGGTTGGATCTGGCTTCCATTCCTTACTTATTGATAAGGGGTGGTTGTGGGGGGTTTCCCTTAATATGTCATTGCCTCAGCGGAGGCATGGTTGTAAGCATGTGCCATCACATCAGAATAAGTCTTCCAAGTGTTGGCATTGATCATGTACTTAAAGAAACAGTCACAAAGGCCTGCCGTGAAGGCCTTGAGGGCGGTCTTGTCATCTGCCTCAGCGCAACGAGAATACTCATGGCTGAAATGACCAGCATACTCTCGTAATGACTCATCCGGCTTCTGGAAAATAGTGTACAAGTCATCTGCAGAATGCAAGCAATCGATCTGAAAGATGTGTTGAGAGACAAACAGTTTCCTCAGTTCCTTAAATGAGTCTACTATCTCAGGTGAAAGCCGGCAATACCAGTTTAGAGCTCCGCCAGAGAGGGTGGAGAGGAAGAGAAGACGTCGCTCTTCGTCGGTGTGCATCCGATATGCCATGATGGACTCAAAGAGGTTAAGGTGTTCAATTGGGTCTTCCCTTCCAGTATAGAGTTGTAAACCAAGCTTTTGTTTTGTCTTCGCTTAAAATTGGGTGTCGAAGATCCTCCTTGTGAGAGGGCCAGGTCTGGGTTGGTTCCAGTCAGGTATCTCGGCCTGACGTTCGGCCTTCAACTTGTTTACTTCCTCAATGAGCTGTAAGACAAGGGGGTCTTGAGTGGAGTCATGTACCATTGGGATTTTATTTCGTAAGTCTCCATCGCCTCTTGGAAGTAGGAAAGTTTGAACAAGGGCGTGTGATTTTTCCTTGGACTTGCCGTACTGACTTATAGGGTGAGTCTGTCGGAATACCTCAGAGTCCCCTATACCTTCATGTTCCTCTAGGACGTGTCGTTCCTTCCCTAGATTGGCAGCTGGCCTGGGTCGTGGGAGGGGACCGAGTCTTTCAGAGACCCTTGGGTCATTGATCTTCGAGCATATGTGGAGGGGATTCTCTCAACGTTGCTTTAGGAAGTCTCGGCAGTCACGATAAACGGCTTTCGATCTTTCCAACCCTTCTGCAAGGAAGTGTTTTCCTCCACTTCTCCTATTTCGGGTCGAAGCTGCTGGGTTGAGAGAAGTCTCATGTTGATCAATGTTTTGATGATTAGCTCGCTCCTCATCAGGGATACCCATGTCGAATGAAGGTGACCCTCCGTGTTGGAGGGCACCCAGATGATGGTTAATGTCCACAGGGGCAACAAGCTCGCGTGTTTAAGTACGCATAGTTTCGTGGAGCTTCTCATACTGCTTTTGGAGGACCTCATTCTTCATTGCTATCTTGTTGTTTTGAGCTTCTAGCTCATTGACTTTAGCTTGAAGAGCAACCCTCTTTCCTTCTTTCTTTCGTTACTTCACACTAGGTGCAAGAGGGGTGTCATTCTGTGTGTTGTGGCTTCCTTCGCTCCCCATGTTGGAGAGGGCTGCCTGGTCAAAAGAGAGTGTATGAATGGTGGAAACCAGCTTGACAAAGCTAAAGAGAGTGGGAATAAATATCGTTTCCCACAGACGGCGCCAAATGTTGATGCACAAAATCAGTGAGAACTTTGGTACAACAAAAAGTGTTAAGTTTGTGACCTTCGCTAAATTGCTTCGGTCACTAGTGTGGATAAGTATGTAAATGGATAGAGACAGGGAAACAAACACAAGATGTACGTGGTTCACCCAGATTGGCTACATCCACGGAGTAGAGGAGTTCTCATTGATTGTGAAGGGTTTACACAAGTTCATAGGTTCAAGCTCTCCTTTAGTGAGTACAAGTCAATGATTTAGTACAAATGACATTAGGAAATATGTGAGAGAATGATCTCTATTTATAGAAGAGAGTTTCTAGTTTCATTCTGACATTGACACGTGTCGTGTTGATTGGCTTTTTATGTTGACATGTGTCGTGCTATGATTGGCTTCTGATGTCGACACGTGTCACGCAGTGATTGGCCTCCTGGTTTGAGGGAAACTCTTATGAGTCCTTGACGGTATAACGTTGATCGGTACTCAGTAGTTTTGGGATTGGTCAAGTATGATACAAATAGTGCTCCCCTAAGTTCCCGAGTACATCAAACAGAAATGAGAGTACATCAAACAGAAATGATTCAATCGGACCGATACACTTCATTCCCTCTTTCCACAATGAAATATGAAACATCCATGTGGGTTATGTTTAATTACCCTGATGAATCAAACACTGGATCAGGTATATCCATTAGTTTAGCCTGGTCGAGAAAATTGGTTTTGACACCATTCTCCTTAAGGGAGGCTTGATACAGGTCCACCAGATGTTTTAAGGTACGACAGGTACGCGCCTAGTGTTCATTGCCACCATACCTATGGCAGGCTCCTCCAAGATTTGTAAGAGTGTTATTCATATAAGTTATACCTTTGTGGCGATTTACATTTTTGAAGCTCGGACCTGAATTATGCCTTGGACCCTGGTTATAAAACTAGACACTATGATTCTTGCCTTTCCTGTTCCACCAGCCTCGGTTGTGGCCACGTCTTTGTTTGTAATTATTGCCATGACAGGATATGGTGTTCACTTCAAGTGAAGCAGCATTCACTTCTAGGAATGGCGCCGATCCAATAGGTCGGGACTGATGATTTTTCATTAGAAGCTCATTATTTTGTTCAACCACAAGGACCACCAATATCAGTTGGTTGTACTCTGTAAAGCCTCGCTTTCTATACTTCTGCTGCAAGAGCAAGTTAGAGGTATGAAAAATGCTGAAAGTCTTTTCCAACATATCTTCCTCAATGATGATCTCCCCACAAAGCTTCATCTGGGAGCTAATTCTGAACATTGCAAAGTTGTACTCAGTAGCCGACTTGAAATCCTGGATCCTCATGTGTGTCCACTCATAACGAGCCCTTGGAAGAATCATCGTTTTCTGGTGATTGTATCTATTTCTCAATGCCTTCCAGAGGGCTGATGGATCTTCAACCGTTAGGTACTCGCTTTTTAGTACTTCATTAAGGTGGCGAAGGATAGAGATCATGGCCTACGTCTGATCTTGAGAGGATACACTGTTTTCCTCCTTGATGGTTTCTCCAAGATTTCCTGCCTCTAGATAGATCTTGGTATCCACTACACAGGTAAGGTAGTTTTTCTTAATAATATCCAGGGCAACAAAATCAAGCTTTGCTAAGTTCGCCATTTTCTTTTTTAAAAGAAAAATGAGATGTGTAAGAACTTGCAATAATATGTATTCTCGAATAATATAATATTAAAACTTCTGACTCTTACAAATTTTTCATTTTGATCTTCATGCCATAATGATAAACACTCGAAATTTCAGGCTCGAGATTTACATGATTAATGAAGGGGGCGATTGTACTGCACCACTATCATTGAAACAATATAGCATAAGATGAGCGATTATACTGCACCACTTAAACAACACAAAAATTTAAATATGCAGAACAGGGTGGGCGATTATACCGCACCACCTAAAATTGCAGTAAAATTAAATCTGCAGTTCAAGAAGGGGGATTGTATCGCACCATCTTTCGTCGCAGTAAAATTAACATAAATAAACATTGGGTTAGTAATCAGGAGCTACACCAAATGAGAAATAAAAAATATTAGTAATTATTATATTCACTAGTAAAAAAAACACTTTGCGCGACGTAGGTCCTTCGTCGCGCAAAAATCGTCGCGCCAAGGCAGTGACGGTAGGGTTTGCGCGACGTAGGTCGTACGTCGCGTAAATTACTTTTGCGCGACGAAGATCCTTGCGTCGCGCAAAGGTACTTTTGCGCGACGCAGGGATCTTCGTCGCGCAAAGTACTTTTGCTCGACGTAGGTCATTTCTTCGTCGCGCAAACCTTTTTTTTTTTTTTGTAAAAATATTTTTTATTTAATTTTTAATAAATGTTGTAATTAAATTGTAAACAATAATTAATAAACCAAGAAAAAGTATTTAATTATAAAATATATGAAAATGTACATACAATATGTCTGAACAAAAAAGAAAAAACTACAATTGCACAGGACAACAATGTTTGAATAACATAACCACAGCTAGTAGCGACGCTGCTATGCTGCTATGAGGTAGCCACTCCACGATGTCGCGAGTCATACGCAATCTTCATCAAGGAGGCGGACAAACATACGCTCTATGCCGGCTTCAGCATTCGATTAGGCCCCCTGGTGTTTCTTTTAGCTGCCCAAAAAAACTTAAATGGTAAAAACCCTAAGCTTAAATTTCTACAGAAAATTCATCAAAACCTCCCCTAATAGTATATCATTTCCCAAAACCTTAAAACAATAAAATAACAATAATTCACAACACATTTTCACAATCTAGCAAATTTTCACAATCATAAAAATAATAGTTTTAAAATGAAATAAAAAAATACAACGCAGTGAGAATTAGAAAAAAAATACCTGGCTGGGAGGCCCCACCCTTGACTCTGAATGTCGAGGAAGTGTGATCAAAAGGCTCCGGCTCACGACAGTGCCGATAAGGCCGCCATGCACTGAGCAATTGAACCGACACTGATGACGTCGATGATATGGGCACCTAGGACGCCATAGGAGCAGCCTCAGTAAGGGGTGTAGGCTCCCCAATCAATGGAGCACTCACGCCTGGAGCAGTAGATGCTGATAATGCAGGAGGCGCATTAGTCACACTCCGACAACAAGTGATCAACTGCGACATCTATACAATTTTTTAACCATAAAAATATAACATTAGAAACTAATCCTTTCTTGCATTTGAAACTAATCTCAGAAAAAAAAAAAAGAATACAAAGTAACGGGTATTCGATTCAATCAATACAAAGTAATATTTTAGGTCTTTGCATTCATATTTTTTCAACCTACAATGTTTTGTCTGTTTGTCTCATACACAAAGAAAATCCTAGTGTTCTAGTAAATGAATCATGTGGAATGATCCATGTGATTGTGATGGCATGAGGTCTAGGTTTGAAAATTACACGGAACAAAAAAGATAGAGGTAGTAGTACTTGAAGAAAATCAATCAAAAGAGGTTCTTGTAAAGTTCACACAAGAAACATGTGGAAAGAAGAAAATAGTAAAAAAGATGCCACCCAACAAATTCCTTTTCGACTCACATACAAGACAAAACTTGGATGTCAACAAGGGCATCAACCAGTCTGAACCAATCAGTAGCAAAACGTAGAGAGGTATCTGATTCTTTAGAGTGGGGAAACAGAAAGGAGATGTATGCATATGGAATCCTTATCAATAAATTAGCTCAAAATGCATAAGGGAAGTTATGGTCTGCATTGTGCAACCAACCCCAGTCCACTATCTCTACTAACCAACAAAAAAACAGAAACAGAGCAAACCAGAATAGAAAATAGAAAATAGAACCAAGTGACATCTAGTAAATGAATCACAAACAAGTATTAAATAGCAATTATATTTCATCCTCACATTTGCTTTGCTCCCATCAATCACAATACCAGATCATTGAAAAGCAATAAGTTCTTCTCAAAAAGAGAAAGCAAAGATAGACACTTGGGGACAAAAAATCTACCCCTACATGTCAATACCTCTCAACCACATATATCTACACCTACATAGCAAACCCTCTTAAGCGCACCCCTTCATAGTTGAAGAAATGTTCAGGAATCAATTGTTCAGTAGTAATGTTCGAAGCAAGAAACATGAGAAAGCAAAGCACTAGCAATTTGGAGGGAAATAGAACTCAGAGAAGACAAAGTAATAATAAATTAGAGCAATTGAAAACATGAGAGGACTACAGGATGTACCAAACTTTTGGATGGGAAAGTATTACTTTGCAAGACAAATATCCTTGTGGTAAAGCGCACCTTCTTTGTTCTAAATGAGCTGCTTTCTCACTTAGACTCCAATAGGTTGCAGAGAAGATATAGGAAACAAAGGCAATATACAGATTAAGGTAACAAAGGCAATACCAAAGTTCATTACATTTAATAGTTCTAAAAGCAAATTGAAAGCTTAACTACATGGAATGATTAAATTGATCGACATCATGATAATATCATCAAGTTTGGCTTGTAGCTACCATTTCAAATAAAAGCAGTAATTCAATGATTAAATTGATTGACATCATGATAATATCATCAAGTTCATAGCTAGCTAGCTAAGGTAGAGAGAAAGTTTGAAAGCATAAAAGGTCGTCCTAGTTGGCAATTGGTACATGATTTATATAATGGAAATCTGCCTTAATCCAATTATTAATCCTAAAAGTGTATCTTACGACATAGGCGCATTGCAAATTCTCATTTATTATTTTCAAATTCTCATTTAGTAATTTTCAAATTCTTATCATTATTTATTATTTTCAAATTCTCATTTAGTAATTTTCATTTGCTTGCTTTACAGAGTTTGGTTATACATTTCTTTTTTCTCGTAGTGGAACATAACAACTTTTGGTTCCAGTCCATCTCCAACTTGTTATAGGAATGCACTAATTCTCTTACATGTATTATATTATATACATATGTTTTTCTAAAAGGATTACAAATTCCTTTGGCCAACTTGACAAGACAACAAAGCCTAATTAACCCCATCATCGCCAGTTCAGTTACGCTAGTAAGTAATCAAATCACACCAGAAGAGTTGCATCTTTGTACTAATAATTATATGCCATCATTTGCAAGGGTTCTGCTTATGCTAAATATGCACAAGATCAAGCCACTTTCCACAAGTTCTATCTTACATTAATTAGCATGTAGTCTGAAAACTAAAACAAGCTATGTGAAGATACTTCCAAAAGTTGGACCATGAGGTACAATGTTGAAGATGAAGCAGCTGTAAAAAGTGTGCAGAGGAGTGGTTTGCTAAGCATGTTAAGTTACTAATATGTGATTAATAAGCAGCTGTAAAAAGTGTGCAGAGGAGTGGTTTGCTAAGCATGTTAAGTTATTAATAAGTGATTAATAAGCAGCTGTAAAAAGTGTGCGGATGAGGGACGAAAGGGTACTGTAGTTTCTAGCACATAATAATAGCAATATCTAATTTCAGAGCTTTCCTTCATACCATTTTCCTGAGCCCAGTTACCTTTGCATTTTCCCCGCAACCAATTAAAAAAATCACAGATTTGCAACCAGAGCTTTCAATATACACAGAGCCTTCAAATAAAACCCTAATTTAGGATTAAAGCAAACACAGATTCCTGCAACACTCACCAAATAAAACCCTAATTACACTTAAATTAACAACAAAGTAACAACAAATAAAACCCTAAATTAAGTGTATATATGATAATTAGGATTTCCTAATTACGCAGTTACCTTTGTCTTCGTCTAACGATGGGTGGGTAACGGCGAGGAATTCCTCGTGCACTGTATTGCATGAGGTGGATGTCCGGCGTCTTTGAAAATCACTCGAGGAAGTGGCAGATGAAGGAAGCCAAAGACGATCGGAGTGAGAGAGAGGGAAGCGAGAGACCGAGTGAAAGAGAGTTGTCTGGACGATTGAAAATTCCAGCGCCTAATTTTACCCCCGTTTGTCCAATTCAAAAGAGCGCCTAATTTTTACAAGAGTAAACTGTCGGTTTACCCTCTGAACTTTCACCTCACTTTCGATTTCCTCCCTGAACTTTTCCATTGGAAAATTAAGGACTCAAACTAATTTTTTTAGCCAATTTGCCCCCTACCGTTAGTTTTTCATATATTCCATCCATATTTCCGTTAAGTGAGACAATGTGCACAACATGTGAGGGTAGCTAAGTTATTTCACTCTTAAAAATGATTAAAAAACTGAAAATAATAAAAAAAGCAAAACTTTCCCTCTATTTTTTCCCGCTAATTCCTATCCTCGATTTTATTTTTCCCTCTCATTCCTATGCATGAGAAATGACATATGGTGTTATTGTATACCATTTTTATTTTCTCTAACAAATTAATAATTTGACAAATGCTAATGGTGCTATTGTCTCCAAAGCAGTGCATTAATATAAGAAACCCTAGTCTTTTTTATGGACATGTTTCTTATATTAATGCACTGCTTTGGAGACAATAACACCATGAGCATTTGTCAAATTATTAATTTGTTAGAGAAAATAAAAATGGTAGTACATGCTTCAAAAAAAAGATTAACTTAGCTACTTATGAAGACAATAACACCATATGTTATTTCTCATGCATAGGAATGAGAGGGAAAATTAAAATTGAGGATAGGAATTAGCAGGAAAAAATAGAGGGAAAATTATTATTATTATTTATTTTCAGTTTTTAATCATTTTTAAATTGAAATGACTTAACTATCCTCACATGTTATGCACATGGTCTCACTTAACGGAAATATCGATGGAATATATGAAAAAATAACGGTAGGGGGCAAATTGGCTAAAAAAATTAGTTTGAGTCCTTAATTTTCCAATAGAAAAGTTCAGGGGGGAAATCGAAAGTGAGGTGAAAGTTCAGGGGGTAAACCGACAGTTTACCCTTTTTACAATTGCAGCGCCAAAATTTTACCCCCTTGCGCGACACATGGATCTATTATGACGTCGCGCAAGACTCTTTGCGCAACGACAACACTTCTGCGTCGCGCTAGTTATATATATATTTTTTAAATTATAAAATTTATTAAAAATGTGACTTTACTCCTTCCAAATTCAATTTTTTTTTACGTAAAACCCACAATAATATATTTTTCTAACAAAAACCCAATCCAAACTACAATAATAAAATTAAAGCTACTTAATAAATATACATATCATTCAATTTCTTAAGTATTATATGTACAAAATAAATAAATTTAAAGTTAATAAATATATATACCATTCAACTTGATGGGATACGCATTCTACGAAAATAGTTTTAATGATCCAATCGTCAAACTTGTTTGAATATACTTTGGGATCACATACGCTGAAAATCACAAAAAACAATTATTCAGAGAGCAAGTAACAAGACAAAACTTTTCAATGGTTATAGCGAAAAATCATTATTTAACAGTAGTTTTTAACTCCGATTTTGATTATTTTTACAGCTACACTCCTTGACCCTATATAAATACAATGGACAAATTTGATCTTCAATTTAAAATATGTACACTAGTAGATACCACAAAATCTTATGTTATACTTAATGAAAAGTATAAATGAACTCTAAGTATTAGTGAATCTATCGTTTTGATGGGATACGTATCTTACGAAACTAATTTCAACGATCCAACTGTCAAACTTGTTTGCATATGCTTCTAGATCGCATACGCAAAAAATCGAAAAAACAAACATTCAGAGATCAAGTAACGGGACAAAACTTTTCGATGGTTATAAACGAAAAATCATGATTTAACGGTAGTTTTGACTCTGATTTTCATGATTTTTTACAGCTACACTCCTTGATCCTATATGAATACAATGAATAAACTCGATCTTCAATTTAAAATATTTACACTCGTAGATGCCACAAAATCTTATGTTATACTTAATGAAAGTATAAATAAACTTTAAGTGTTATCGTTTGATGGAATATGCATTCTACGAAACTAATTTCAACGATCCAACCGTCAAACGTATTTGTATATACTTCGAGATCGCATACGCCAAAAATCGAAAAAAACAAACGTTCAGAGATCAAATAACAAGACAAAACTTTTTGACGGTTATAAACGAAGAATCATGATTTAACGATTATTTTAACTCCGATTTTGATGATTTTTTACAGCTACACTCTTTCACCCTATATGAATACAATGAATGAATTCGATCTTTAATTTAAAATATTTACACTATTTGATACCACAAAATCTTATGTTATACTTAATGAAAGTATAAATAAACTCAAAATATTAGGGAATATATTGTTTTGATGGGATACGCATTGTACGAAACTAGTTTCAACAATCCAACCGTCAAACTTGTTTGTATATGTTTCGAGATCGCATATGCCAAAAATCGCAAAAAACAAACATTCAGATATAAAGTAACGGGACAAACCTTTTCGACGGCGATAAACGAAAAATCACGATTTAACGGTTATTTTAACTCCGATTTTGATGATTTTTTTTATAGCTACACCTTAACCCTATATGAATACAATGAACTAATTCGATCATCAATTTAAAATATTTACACAAGTGGATACCACAAAAAAAAGGCAATGCAAGAACCCCAAAAGAAAAGCAAAAGGAAAAAAAAAACAAAAAACTTTGCGCGACGAAGACCTACGTCGCGCAAAGAAAAAACTTTGCGCGACAAAGACCTACGTCGCGCAAAACAACTTTGCGCGACGAAGGTGCACATACGTCGCGCAAACATACTTTGAGCGACGAAATTTGCTACATCGCGCAAGTTTTCGTCGCGCAAACATGTTTTTGTACTAGTTGAGAACTAGGAGTAGGCACAGGGCTAGCAGATCTTGGCGAGGGTACATCAAGTAGGTGAGGCAGAGGAGGAAGGAGAACAGTAAAATCCTTAGAGGAAGTTTTTTTTGGTGAAGGGAGATGAGAACTGGTTAAGGTTAGAAAGTCGTGCTGATAACATATTATAAATAGGCAAAAGTTAGAGAGATAACCTTTTCTAGGGATAGAAGCGAAGCGGGTGCAAAATATCACACTATTTAGCTTCGTAACTATAACACAAAAGCATTGCAGGTAAAGAGAGGAAGTGAGAGATATTGATATTATTGCTTTCACTTCTTTTCTTTGTTGTGAATTGTGATCACACACAGAGTGCTCTTTACATAGAGCCACATCCATGAAGGTTTACAAAAATGAAATGATTGTCTTTTGAAAAACCTCACATATCAACAACAACACAACTATTCTTAAGTCTTCCTCACTATTAGCTAAAGCATGTGGGCATACATTTCCACAATTTTTACAACAAAATTGGTAAATTTTAAATGTTAAAATTCTTCTTTAAAAAATTGAATTGTCGTGGCCTATTTCAAAAAAATATCTCAAAATCTTGAGGTATAAATTGTAGTTAGTCCTTATGATTATAAATCGTGGAATTTTTTTTTTCGTATGTACGTTTTCAACTATTTATAATGAAATTCTTATATATATAAAGGCAATGGATGTTAATTCTAAAGTTTATTGAATAATTCTACAGATTTGTGCTTAATCAAAGAACTTTTTTTTTTTTGTAGTTTAGATGATTTTAGTGTAAAATATTACTTATATCATAAAAAGAATAATAGAAATTTAACTTACAAAGTCAAACATATAATTCATTATCAAATTAAAAAAATTAAGTAACTTTTTTTCTTAGAAACCAATCAGGCATGACATTTTAAAATGAAAAACAAATTAACAAGGCAAGATGATGCCTAGTAAACAGTTTTAGAGTGAAAGGTATATAGTTGAGGATACTTTACAATCAAAGATCAGTAATATCGAGCCTTGAAAAGTAAGATTATAATTGTATATGATATTGAAGTGATTAATTGTATATATGAGCGAATTGAAGATATTGGAAGATAAAACAATCAATTTCTGTTAAAGAAGTTTTAAGTTTATAAAATATGAATATAAATCATATAATTGTACATTTACGTAGCTAATGATCCCAGGATTTGTTTGCTCAAGTATTTGGAGAGCCTTTTTTTTTTCTTTAAATGTTAGGACGCATGGCATATTTGCTACCAGAATTCCTGTAAACTGAGCATGCAAAGGCGACAACAATTGTCACTACAAGAAAAATGGCCTTTGGGCACAAAATTAGGGACACAAATAAGGTGTTTGTGTCTGTTTAAACACTAATATGGTGGAACAGTGCTCATTTCGTAATGGGCACCATGAATTGTGCGCAATGTTAAGAAAAGTGGACACAAACACATTATTGGGCACAGAGCCATGACTTTGGTGCCTTTAATGTCAGCAATGAAATTTTTTTATTAATTTGCAATGACACCATAAATGTTATTGTGTCCTATAATTTAATATATTTAAAGTAAAAGTAGATTTTTTGTGCCCTTTGTTTAAAATAATGTTTTAAAGGTGGATGAATCAAATGACTCTACGCTCTCTCTTTCACACTTATCATCAAACAGACTCTCTAACCTCTCGGATCTCTCTGCACTCTCTCATCTCCTCCTTTGGTATGTCAACAGCCTCGGACTCAACACTCTCTCTAATCCCTCGAATCATCTTTGCACTCTCTACTCTACTTCTCCTCCTTGTCTTCGTCAACCATCTTCCTCCCTCTCATATACTTCCTCTTCCTCTTCACTTTCACGCAACAGCGCCGCCGTCCACCGGTCACCAACCCCCAAATTAAACTTCTAGAATCATTTTTCCGTCCTCTTTCCAACCCCCAAATTAGTTTCTACAAATTCGTAACCAAATTTCCTCAATTTCAGATCTAAGAAACGGTGACCAGTGCTTTTCCGGCCAATTTCTGGCCAAGCCTGTCGGAATTGGACCTCGACCCAAGAGATCAGTGAACAACTTCTGGGTGTCCACAGAGTGCAAGCAAGGTGAACTTCGACGGTTGGTTATGGCAGTTTTTTTGGTGCGTACCGTTTCGTTCCTGTCATATGGGTAACGTCATTC